GAATTCAGATTGAACTTCAACTGTACTCAATCAGTAAAGATATTTCCTATTGCATATTATACCGACACAGAACATTATGGTAAAAACGAGGAAGGTTTTCTTATCTGTTAATTATTACCTGTGGTGTGCTCCGATCATCAGTTCCTTCATATTTGCTTAGACACTCTTGTAAAAGAAGAATCTGCAACACCAAATGTTGATGAACTAAGTAAACGAAATCATCGGGTTGAATGTCTACACTGAAAGTATCATTTAGAGCTTATATATAACCAAATAGTAAATTAATGCTTCAATTCTTTGTACACCTCCTTGCTAAAAAACGAAATACTATTTTACTGAACAGTTTATTTATTATTTTTACTTTTGGGTTTGAAAATCAAACATAGATATTATGCCATGAAGTAAATAATGAAAGAAACTAAAATACAAAATGTTTGCCTCAAACCTTTAAGAGAACTTGATGGTTTAATCGATGCAAAACCCTGAAGGGACCAAAGAACCCTAGAATGGACTGATTGATAGGTGGAAAAGGGGTTTTAAATGGTGAAAAGGGATTATAATCGATAGAATGTGATTATAATTGGTGGAAGATGTAGATTGAAGGTGAAATGGTATTTAAAGAAAGTTTCAACCGGTCAAAGATGAGGAAATGAGGAAATACGGGAGAAACCCTAACCTGAAAGTAAGGAAGATACTCTTTGATGGTGAAGGATGAGCTCTCGAGCCACTGAAATCTCGAGGAAGACGAGAGAGAAAAAGAAGATGTTGCTTCGTTCATGAGTGAGTGAATGTAACATGTGAGGAACAACTTCAAACGTCGAACAAGAGCTTCACCTAACCACCTCAACACGACCCAACAGAGAACAATGGTAATCAGAATGAATTTTTGCACAGAAGAGAAAGTATTGCAAAAAAAAATGGAATATGTAAAATAATTCATACCTGTTATAATATTTAATCGCATCGTACAGCTTTTCATACCTGCTTTTATTGTAGCCGGTGTAAAAAAGTTCTTCATATTTACAAAATTGCCACCACACCACTTTTTATACCTGCTGAATTTTAATAGGTATAAAAAATCGCTATAAAAAATATATTTTTCCCTGGTGGTTAAGTAAGATTGTCTTGAATAAAAGACATTTATAGTTAATAGTTATAATCAATAGTTTTATAGAAAGTTATTAGGTTTATTAATTAGGAGTTTCATTGGAAAATATAATACTTATCAAGGTCTAAGTCTAATAATACAAACTTTTATACGGTGCTTCACTTATATTACTATACTCCTTCTCGAAGTCAAGTATTCTCGTATCACTTGTTAGGTTTATTGAGAAAGAAGATTCAGTGAAAAAACACAACACTAATAAAATACGAACCCAATCACATAAGAGATTGATATAATTTTCAATTCAAAATTTTAGGATAATGAATTAATAAATTTTATCTCTATATAGTGTTTCCCTTTTTCATTTTATTCCAATGTGACATTAACACTCATACTTGGATTTCCAACAAAAAAAAAACTCAAAAATAAGGAACAAGATATAGGCAATGTAAAGATAGAGAAAAAAAAAAAGGACAGGTCAAGCAAAAAAAAGTGTTTGGAATGAATTTGTTGTATTTAGGTTACTATAATCCATAAATGAAGAGGGACAATGATTCTAATAAGCATCATTGACCATTGAGAGGATTATATAATTCTTGTCACTTTAAGAGAGTATCTCTCCTTAAAGAAACTATTGTCTTTAAGTAAAGATAAAATTAGATTGGTTCACATTCTTTAACCATTCACGATGAGTTAACATTATTAATGCGGTGCCAAGCTAGCATAATTATCATCTTCTACTCATTCATACTACATAATTCATTATTCAATAGTTCCATTTCAAGGGTTCACTACTTTTGCCTATCCATATTGTCCTTGTTAAGAAAATAAGTATGATTTATTCAAGTTTGTAAATGAAACAATAATAAAAGTTTGACAGATTTAACATATTATTTAACTTCGTTACTTTAAATGAAATTCATACTAGATAAAAGTATAAATGATATGCAATTATAAATAAACTAGACACATATCAATATTTTATATGCTTTAATTGTAATACTTCTTTTAATATTGTTTTGCTTTTCAATGTGCTTTAAATTATCATTTTATTTTGTGGAATGATATTTCAATGTGCATTTTGGGTGCACAATATGGATATACTAGGATGGTCAGAAGTTGTTTTGTACATATAAGGATTTAGAAAAATAACAACTAAAAGCATGTTTGAATAAGTGATTAGATCACATTTATTAATTTCTTCAAAGAAAACAAATCTTAAGTGAAACTTAATCAGTAGTGTGGATGGTGATAGAAACCCATTTAAGAAACTAAATAGATATTCATCTAAGGAACATCAACTTAAGCTAAAGTTAAAAGAGTGGAAATATAAGAAGGACTTTCAAGCTTATTATTTCTTTCCCTCAAGCCTTAAAAGATATTGGACTTCTCAAAGAGCCATGATCAAAAGCATAGAAGAAGGAGAAGGAGCTTCAAGAACACTATTTTTATGGAGGATCACATTTTAAGTCTCTTCTTTTATCTTTAATATCTTTTGTAAATATGTAAAATAGTTTATTTAGGCTTTGTATTTGACCAAGACTCTTTGTCGAGCTTTGTTTTAAGTATGATGACTTTAGTTCAAAAAACTGTGCACTGAAGTTGTCATGAGTATAAATGAATTTGATTCAATTGAAAGTCCGAACCACTTTAAAGACATCGTACAAATTGAAAGTTGTGACCATTCCTAATAATTTTCATCCAACATGTTTTACAAATACGTCATTACCAATCCTAACTGATTACTTCACATTTTTAAAATTTTATGAAATAGTTATTCTTACTCACAACCATTTTAAGTTAGAAGTTGTCACGATTCCATAAACTTATCCTTGGACTATAAATTTTAACACCTACTCCATTTTTGTAATTTAAAGAGTAAGAAACTATCCATTTTTATAATTTTTTATTTTAGTCTGCACACCTGCAATTTAATATGTGTAAAAATAGATTAAAATATCATTTTCGTTTTTCTTTTACTTACATAGGTAAAGTAGTTTGAATTGGATCCCTATATATCATTTTAAAATTGCGTAATGTATATTTCAAAATGTATAAAGAGTTTTGTAGAAAATTATAACGACAATTTAAATTTTAAAGGGTTAAATATGTTTTTAGTCCCTAAACTATTGGCCGTTTCTGGTTTTCGTCCCTCTTTCAAAATAAAGTACAATTTGGTCCTCATTCTTTTCGAAACGTTCGTTTTAGTCCTCGAAACTTTGGTTTTAGTCCTCATTTTGATGACAAAATATGACCAAAATTTTAACGGTGTTAGTTTTCGAGGACTAAAAGGAACGTTTTCGAGAAGAATGAGAACCAAATTATACCTTATTTTTAGAGAGGGACGAAGACAAAAAACGATCAATAGTTTAGAGACTAAAAACATATTTAACCCAATTTTAAATTGTGAACCGTTGGAAACAACGTCATCCTATAACACTTATTAAAGAAAATACTTTTGCCGGAATTGTCTTTTTATTAAATAATGAATAGTAATTGTGTTTTAAAGTGGCTTTGTCTTTTACCTTTTTTTGCCGAGTATCTGTCAGAGTGAATAGAGAAAAGCTGTAAATAACGGGTACTGTTTGGCTAGGCAACCCCACATGGGTGATTTTGACGTGTGATGGCCACCAGCATCGGATACTATTTCCCATGCGGAAAACATGAAATGTCACTTGCCCTGCACCGTCGCCTCCTTGTTTAAAATGAGAGGAACGAGAAGCGTGTTGATGTACTTCCGGAACACAACAACTTGTGACTTCACATTCACAAGCAAAATGCGAAGCCTGTTAATGTTATTGGGACTATGCGTCCTAGTGTTGTTCCCTTTTCCAGTTGCATTATCAGAGCGGTGCCACCCACAGGACAAGAAGGTGCTCCTCCGCTTCAAAAAGGAACTCAACAACCCTTACTTCTTAGCTTCCTGGGACCCAAAAGAGGATTGCTGTGACTGGTACTGTGTCAAGTGTGACGACAGAAATAACCGTATCTACGAAGTATTTCTAGTATCCTCTTTTCCAGACCCCAATGTCACTGGCCAAATACCACCCTCTGTGGGTGACCTCCCTTACCTCGAGTACCTTGACTTTCACAAGCTCCCCAACCTCGTCGGCCCAATTCCGACAACCATCACGAAACTCACCAAACTGAAATCTCTCTCTATCACCAATACTGGTCTCTCAGGCCCGATCCCTGAATTTCTGGGCCAGATTAAGAGCCTCGAGTATATCGCCCTTTCCTTTAACAGCCTCTCGGGCTCCATTCCCAGCTCACTTTCCCAGCTGCCTAATCTCGGGTCTCTACAGTTGGACAGGAACAAATTGACGGGCCCAATCCCGGCCTCTTTCGGCTCCTTCAAGAAGCCCGGGCCAGATCTCAAACTCTCTCACAACCAACTTTCCGGGGCCCTTCCCCGTTCCTTGGGCAACCTAGACCCAGACAATATAGACTTGTCAAGGAACAACTTCGTAGGCGATGCTTCATTTCTTTTCGGGAGCAAGAAAAAGATTCAGGTACTTGACCTTTCCAGGAACGCCTTCTCCTTTGATCTGTCTCCTGTGACGTTTCCCAAGAAAACCTTGATTTGGTTGGATATCAATCACAATAAGATTTATGGAAGCCTTCCAGTGGCGTTGACCAAAGTGCAAAATTTGCAGCAGTTGAACGTCAGTTATAATCCTCAGTTGAAGGGCCAAATTCCACAGGGTGGTGAATTGCATAGATTCGATAAATATGCCTTCTTTCACACTAAGTTGTGTGGCTCTCCACTTCCGCCCTGCACCAAATAGATTAACTCATTCCTTCTACTTCCTTTAAAATAACCTTTCTATTTTCGCCCTCCATCTATAAGATTAAACAAGGAAATCGTTCCACTTTGAATAAAATAAGTTTTATATTTTTGCTCTCTGATTTCAAGTTTATGTATGAGCTTTTCAGGATATACAATGGTTTCAGGAAGATTGTCTTCGATAAAAGATATTTATAATCAATAGTTTTATAGAAAGTTCTTAGGTTTATCCACTAGAAGTTTCATTAAGAATATATAATATTAATTAAATGAGTATAATCAGGAACTTTTCTAGGATGTTTTACCTGTATTAGTCCACTTCTTCTCCAACTAAAACATTATTAAAGTACATGTTAAGTTTATTGAGAAAAACATTTAGTGGAAACACTATTAGTGAAATCTTAACTCAATCACGTCAGAAACTAGTATCACTCTAATCCAAAATTTTAAAATAATAGAAAAATAAATAAAATTAAAAAATTGTAAGATCTTTAACATAAAAACACACAAGAAAGAGAGTTGATCCGTATCATCTTAACTTTATATATATATATATATATATATATATATATATATAACAGTCCAGTTCGACCATACTTTACACAACTTTCAGACAAACTCTTCAAACCAAACAGCAAAATAATTTTACACACACAATAGGAATTGAACCTATAATCACCGATCCATAACAAAAAAACTCCAACCATTTACTTGTCTTCTATTATTTTATTTTAATTCGTGATGACCATGTCCACCACTTTTTTAGATAAATATTTTTTAAGTTTGACGAAAGCAACTTTTTATATTAATTATAACACTAAGTATAAAAAGTTATATTTTTTTTACGATTAATCTTAATCGATATAAAAAATTTATATCTGTTTCGGCAGGATTTAGAACCCTAATCCAAAACATTCAAAGTTGTCTGCTTTGATGTCCAGTTGTAATGTCTTCTCTCTTCTCCTTGTCCAAGCCGCGGGAAAGGCTAACCGCAAAAGACACTCCGACACTCAAGTCAGTAACTTTGCGTAATAATCTTGTAATCAAGATTTAGTTATCAGAGCTCTAAGTTTCACTTCAAGTTCAAGTTACATGTCTTCCTTGTCAGACAAATATTTATAAATTATAATGAGCTTACCGTTACGTCTGACTCATTAACTACCAATGAATGACAATATTAACTGTCAATAAATGACAATTATTTTCATTAACTCCCCAACAGTTATTACTATTAATTACCTTAACGGCTGATTAACCGATCGGTTCATTGACACATCGGTCGGACGACTCTTCTGCACCTTTACCGTTCTGTTGGCTATGAGCCCATAGTAACAATATCATATACAAATTTAATCTTTTTTTAATAAATTCATTATATCGGTCTAAGAATCAAAATAAAAAGTAAACTTTTTATTTCAAAAATCAAATACTTCCTATATTTTTTGCTTTTATACTAATTTGCAAACTGGTATAAAAATCTTTTTAAGTGATATAAAAATATTTCTTTTTTACTTTTTTTGCAATAATGTGTCTTAAGTTTGACTTAAACACATTTATTTTAGATTTTCAAAATAAAAGATGTAGTTCAATTAAAATCCAACCCAAATCCTTGAATATAAAATTCAGAAATATAGATTTAAATCTAATTTTTTAAAATAAATATAAAGTAATATAAATTTAAATTATTATGAATTGAATTTTCAAATTTAAATTTCTTTTCATCCTTATTTAAGATCTGAACTGTGAAACAAATTTAAAAAGTCAGATTACACAATACTTTTTTAGGATACGGAAAACAAATGATGGTTAGTCCTTTTCAAGTTTGGAATAAGAAATTTACTAATGCAATGTTTGTAATGATTTGCGCACGTTTTTTATATTCTTTCACGAAGAGTGTTTTGGTACATTTGGATAAGAAAGTTGTGGTTGTCCACACGACAGTGTAAGGTTTTTGAGATTTCAATAAAATAATGTATCCAATATGTGTAAAGTGAATCCCTCCATGTCAGAGGTAGATTTCTTTTATTTACTTGTATCTCAGTTTGTTCTCTTCTTCATATTTGAGCTATCATTCAATTTAATTTTTCGTATTCAATCATTTATATTCATCTCTCAAATGAATTATTTTCACCATGTTTTTTATGTTGTATAAACATAATAACAAATATCTCATCTATGACTTTTATAACAAATTACAATTTAATATCATTAATGCTTTCTAGATATGATATTTGAAAATTAATTTTTCTTTTTCTTTTGAAAATAGCTCTTCAAGTAAAAGATAATAAAGTCAAAGTGGGCTAAAAATCATAAACCATAAATAATAAATTTTCAGAAAGAAGAAACCATAAACAATGTTTTCAAAAAATCAATACTTTACAAAAATAAATAAAGAACCTTAGTTGCAGAAAAATGCAAGATGAAAGATAAATACTAGTAGTAATTAATAATATAATTGGAATTAAAAATGTTGTTTTCTGGATCTTAACCATATATTTGCATGTTTACTCCCTATAAGTGATGAAAATCTTTTTATGTTGAATTTGTGTGGTGAAAACTAAACACAATAAAATTGTGTTTGAGAAAATTTCAAATTCAAAGAACACAAATTTTAATTTTCTGAAAATTTAAAGGGGAAATTTTACTTGAAACTCAGTTAAATTAAGCAAGGCTAGAATTTTGTTTTAGTTTAAACCAACTAAATTATTTCATGTTTTCTCTTGAAAACAGACCATTTAATTTCAATAAAAAATTATTTTTGAGTGAAACTAAAACAAAGCTAATAAAACTTTATAATATTTTGACAATATTTTTTTTAGCAATATTTTAATTTATGATTAGTTCATTTTAATGTTTATCATTATTATTATTAATTATAAAATAATTTTAAACCATTAATAATATTAAAATGTCATGAAAATATAATTATTCTAAAACTTTCCTACGAAACATTGTTGTTTTTTCAGTACTTCTTTGTCTCATTGTCTAGGAAAGTTGTGATGGTCCACACGACAAGCGTACTTATGATTTTGAAATTTTGATGTGACTGTTTGTTACCCATATGGGTAAAGTAGTTTAAATGGGATCTGATATCATTTCAAATTTGCGTGATCTCTCATCATTACAATGTTTAAAGAGTTTTCTAAAAATTATAAAGACAATTTTAATTTTAAAATTGTGGTCAGTTAGATACAGCTTCACCCCAATAACAATTACTTAAAGAGATATATCTTTTCGGAGTTTTATTTTATTTTTTCAATTTTAAATTAAAATCTTTAAATTCTAAATGATTATTCATAATAAAAATTCTATTTTTATTTTTTTTAAAATTTAAATAATTACTCATTATAAAAATTATATATGCTTTTATAATTTGTGACTATTTTTATAAATTTAAATAGTTATTTACATAGTATTTCTTATAATTTTTTTTGATTTCAATAACTAAATTTATTTTATTTATAGCCATGTCTAAAATTTTGTATTATAAATATTTATATATTCTGTGTTTTCTTTTTTTTTTTCAATTGTATCCTTTTAATTGTTATTTTTAAAATTTAAATAATTATTTATACCAATACACACAGAGGATATATCTCTATGATATCTACATATATTTTTCCAATTTATCTTTAATAATTATGTTTTCACTTTTATTTTCATATTTAAAATTTAAAAATTTGTGTCAACTCCTTTTGAAAATATCAGTTATTAAAAACAAAACTACATCAATAGATATTTTTCTCTCTCTCCATTCTATTTTGTTCCGCACACTGTTTTTTATGCTTTCTTTTTACAAGGTTTTCCTTCTATTTTTCTCAACCATTTATGTACTCTATGTGTATATTTATAAATATATATATTTCTCTCTTACTTATAGATGTTGTATTGGCTACTTGATTTTAATTTATTATAAATACATTAGAAGTGCCTTTTAGATTTAAGATTATTTAAATATGGTTTGCTTTCATAGAATTTAGAGGAAGATCGTGGCTAGGAGTTTACAGGTTGTTCAAGTATATAACGAAACGAAAACAATCATATATATATGAACAAGACTGGTATTTATGTATTAGTTTTATCAGATGATCCAATTACGATGTTTTTTTTATATATTTCAAAATTCCAGTATATATACTCATTACAATTAAAATATTTTGTTTACACTAGAATATCTGCTGCATAAACAATGTTATAATTATTTATTTAGTCTTTTGTACATTATATATTATTAATGTGTTATACACACATTACATAATTCTTTTTTCCAGTTCTTCAAAATAATAAATTTTGGGTTATATGTTCTGTACAGAAATATGGAGACTCTTTGGAGATAAATCATGCCTTCTTAATTAAATTTGTTTTTCTCAATTTATCCTCAATTTTTTAATTCAAAAATTAGAAATTACATTTCACACTCCGTTCTCAATTTAAACAATACGGTTGGTATGACAGCTAAGGATCTCTAAAACAATGTTTGTCAAATTTGACGATAATTTTTTAAAAATAAGGATTCAATTGAGACACCGAAGGGGACTTATCTGAGATTCTGGACAAAAAAAGTGACATACCGAAACATTAAACCTTAAATATATTAGAGTCATTATTTATCTGGTTAAAATTAGAGAGTGGTTTGTCAATATTAAAATTTATGATTAAGAAGATAATTGTGACAAAAAGTTATTGTATATATATATAATAATACAATGATTTGATGAGAGATTGAATTTAAATTATAAAAATATGAAATATCATTGATAGTAATTATAAAATGGGTTATGGTCTACATTTGTAGAAAATATAGTTTCTCTTCATCCCTATCATAAGAGAAAACAAAATCATTATTTGAGGTCCTATAATTTGGAATATCACATACTTATTGTTATTAATATCATTATCTACATCACTCAGAATGACAAATTGAGGTATGCTTCTGCATTCTATTTCATCATGAATTAGTATATGAGTTCATTAAGAATTAACATATATGATTTTACTATGAATTTTTTATCTATATATAAATAAAATTACTTGGTTAGACACAATTATTTTTTGACAGAAAATTCTCCTAATTATTATTAAGAGCAATCATACTCGATTCATGTGTG